TTTTTTTTTTTTTTTTTTTTTTTTTTTTTTTTTGACGTTGTTCTTTTTTTTTATACGAAAAGGAGGGGCCGCCTTCCCCACATAACGGACGGTACTGGGAGCATTACCCAGTTTCACTTTCCACAGGGCCCACTTGGGACCCGTAACAAATACCAACATCGAAGTACACAAAATGACACAGCAAAAAAACCTCGCTGCAGGAGCGGGGTACCGGGATCATGGACCAGGAACTCCACTCGCCTCCCCCCTCCCCCTTTAGTTTCCCTTCTTCCACTAAATGCATTCTCTCATCCCCTCATGCCGACCCTTATTTGCTCTTCCCACCTCTCCCTTCTCCCTTCATCTTTCAAATTCTTTCAATCCATCTTTATGGTCTTTACCACCTACCTACAAAATCAATACAATAAGAATAAGATTCTTTTCTTTAACTCTAGACTATTTTTCTAGATATATAGATAGATGTAAAAAGAAAAATTATCATTTTGTATATAAAGATCTTAGGATCTAGTATGCAAAATAGAAAGATCTTTATATACAAAATGATCTTTCTATTTTGGAATTTTCGATCTGTACCGCTAGCGGCAAGGCTTATACAGGGGACCCCTGCAAACATAGCTTTGTTGTCTCCCTCCAGCCATCAGAGGGGATGCCTGTTGCCATCCATCAGGTACGCAGCCAGGCACAATTTCAAAGGCGCGAAGGACTGCAAAAAGGTCAAAGCACCCTACGAGGACGTAGCATGTACAATTTTTTTGGAAAAACTCGTCACAGTGATCTCTTTTCATAACTACCTTGTCAAAATACACAAAAATTCTATTAATTTAACCATTAAAATGAAGAAGAAATAAAATGAATTCCCCCTCTATTGTACTGAAACTATCGTCTGCCCTCTATTGTACTGAACCTATCTTCAATCATCACCACCTATTGCTGCGATGTCAGGAACGAACCAACTATTGATGCGATGTCAGGGACGTAACGAGCCAGGACAAATTTGCAATACGTATAAATCCCTGAAAACACCCCAAAACGAAAACAAATTGCGAGATATCCATGGAGTAACTGACCAACGAGCCAGCTAAGTTGGTACACCCATGAGCTATTGAGATAGACACCTGAGTTAAAAAATCCTGCTGGACCTTTATGAATGGAATAAATGAGTAGCGTAGCTCAGTTCGCAACCCGTCAGAGGTAC